TTTTCCTTCTTTATGGCGGAGTAGTACTCTATTATATAGAAAAACCACATCCTCTTTATCCATTCACCAGTCGATGGGCATTTGGGCTATTTCCAAGATTTAGCTCTTACAAACTGTGCCACTATAAAGAATGGGTGTGCATGTATCACTGTGGTATGATGCTTTTCATTCTTTCAGGAAAATATCAAGAAGGGGAATAGCTGGATAGAATGGAACCTGTAGTCCTAGTTTTTAAAGGAATCTCCACACTGATTTCCATAGTGCTTGCACCACTGAATACTTTTCAATGAGTCATGTTTGTATATTAATGGAAGCTCCTTCCTTTATTCTCACTTCACTTTCTTCTCTAAGTTTAATGCCCCTGGAGCAGGACCTGGGCCACCAGATAAACAAGAAAAGGTCAAGGTAAGAGAGAGTAAAGAAAACTAATGCTCTGGTCCAGAATCCAACAGCATATACTGTGTGATACTTCAAATCCAAACAACAAAGTTATAATTCTATACTTGTATTCACATAAAGAATTCTACGTCCTTTGAATGAAATGAAAATCAGGAATAAAATTTAAAGCATCTGCATTTTAGAACTGTAATTCCATATCTGCTACCTATGTGAACATTTCTGCATAACAAATGCTGAAGCAGAATTACAGACACGGTGAGGGACACTGGGGCTTTCTAGAATCTTCTACCAGCCTGTCAGGTTTAATTTACTCAGTCCTGCTGCCCCCAGTCAATACGAGACCTTTGGAAATGACTGCAAATTTTAATCATCTGTGTGATTAAAATCGTTTAATCACTGTGATTTAATCATTGTGGTGATCCTAACAGCTACCAGAAAGAAGGAGAGAAAAAATTAACTAAAAGATTTTGTTTTGCACAATGGATTCTTCAAAGGGAGAGAAATAAAACCACAGGCACAATTTGATGGGTAGAAATATCTACAAAGATTTGAGTTGTGGAACTCGGGCTATTGTTCCAAAAATTACCATAAAATAAATTCGTAGAAAGTCCATTAGTAGATAGTCCATTTCTCCAGAAACAACTTATTTTTTGTTCGCAGTCAGCTTTTATTTTCCTCAATATTCCATATGCTCAGCACCTTCCCTCTCTTACTACATACTCTTGATTTTCTTTTGATTTTTTAAAAAGTGAGGTCTTCATGATTTCTTCTCTGTCAGACAACTTTGCCTAAGTTTAACATACCATATAATTTAAGGTGATTCATTTCCTACAAACACAACCCACTTTCTGCATTTAACCTGGAATCAATGTAAACTTCCCTGGTCCATTTTATATACCAGGTCCATGGTTTCAAATCCAATTCGCACATAAAATGCAAATTTCTGCATCATCTGCATTCTGGAGTTCTGATAAGTATTACTGTATCTACAAAGTTTTTTAAAACTTTAAGTGAAAGCAGATCCCCTTTAGATTGATCTGCTAAAGCACTTGATAGCACTATGTGATCCTTAAAAATATTATCCCTAATGAAATTTTCATGAGGTTATTATCACAGTGAAAGAAGGCCTTGCCAGTCTGAATACTGATGTCAGTGCCTCAGACAAAGCAGAATGATACAGGATTTTGAGTTCTATGTCTAATACCAATATCAAATATTCACTAAAACTATATGAAAGTGTAGACTCCTGACTCGATAGCTTCCTGTATGGGAATTTGTCTTAAAATAATTCGAAGAATAAAACACTATCAACATAAATATGTTCATTTCAGCGTTATGCATAAACAGTGTGAAATACTGGGACCAATGCTACTACCCAAAGATATAGAAATAGGTACACAAATTATTGCAAGTAAACTCAAGGGAACATTATAAAGCCACAGATTTTACAATAGATAAAAATGGGGAAAATAAAATATGAAAAAATTATTTTCTGAGGCTAATACAAGCTTTAAAATCTAAATTTTCACTATTCCACACAGAAAATTAAATTATTTTCAGAATCAGCAGGACTAAGCTAAATTTAACAGTTCCCAGATTATCTGAGTTCCAAGATTTGAATTTTACTTTGGATAGCTATAATCTCCTTCCCAGAAGCTGTAAAAGGATGTAATAACCAGAAGGAAAGAAAGGGTAGAGGATTTATAATTACAAACTATGAATATGTAAACTGCATTTAATCAACATCAGAAATCACAAAGGGAGAAAGACTCAGAAAAAAGACCCCTGGTGGACTAGAACCAGCTGCTCCCTGAGCCCTAGGAATTATGTCTCCTCTAGTCCTTCCGTGAGGAGAAACTGAGTGTTAACATCAGAAGCCGATGACCATTCCACTATGTGTCATACTGCGCCGCCCCTGTGTGACATTTTTCAACACACTGAATATGTATCCCAAGTGTAAAAGGTGCTTCAGAGCGAAGGAGAGGAGACAGGATATCAGAGCTAACCGTGAAGCAGATCTAGAGGCACAGCTTTTAAAAGAGAAAACCATAATGATGTCACCACCCTTAAAGAGGTGACACTGGCGTCCTTTCCCAGCACCCGCAAGGGACCGTGTCAGGGCGGAGAAGCACAGCATTCTTGGTATAAAAATTATGTCCCTGTCCTCCCTCAAGGAGCCTTGTAATTAAACTATGAAAAACTTTTGCTGAAAACACACATTTAAAAACTCCCACACTGTCAGTTCTCCAAAGTGAAATGGTACGTGCCCCAGGTATGAGTCACTGTCTGTGTTTTGTAGTGAACAGCCTGGATGGCTTGAGACATTTCTGGCTTCACGAAGCAATCTAGAAATGGCAAGAACTTTTCCCCAAAACTTAGCTGTCAAATCTTCACTCTAATAATGTATTGTTTGGGGATGACAGCGTTGAAATGCCAAGGCGCTCTGACAGATGACCATTTGAAAATTCGTATTCAAAGCTTTTAAATCGCATGAAATATCAGTGTGGGAGCCCACAATTAAGCCGAAGGGCAGGTGCAATGGAAAGGGAGGAAGACAGGGATGGAGCAGCTGGAGACAGTCTTGGGCCTCTCTCCTGATACTGGTGCGTGAACACTGGCAATAAAGTTGCCAGCATTTGTGTAGGGGATGGTGACTCTTAGCACATCATTTTAAGATAGAATAATTCTAGTCTTAATGCAAGCCTCAAAATGTGTCTTGAGAAACATCCCGGAGGGGTTATAAAGAGTTAACTTTGCAGTCCTCACTTAGCCCTGGAATGCTTCTCCAAAGACAAACAATGCCAGGGCCTAGATAACTAGCTATGACCCTGCCTGGGTTGTTTCATCCTTTCCCTGGCCCTAGATAAACATTGTAACCATAAAGGAAATGTATGGTTATCTAAAGGGGGACATATAGAACACAGTACAGAAAGTATATATCATTGTGGTTGGGCTCATGACCAGAATCTGACCTAGTTACGTGGCACAAGGAAAACAACATGTGGCCAGTGCTACAACATTCCAATCTGTTACCATGGAAACCAAAAATGTATATAAGCTGGGAACAAAGGCAGGTCCACGTCCCTTCCCTGACTTGCAAGTCCAGATGAGAGGTGACCTGTCTAAATTAAAACTTTGTCTGTTCTCAGAAAGTTCTTTGGTCTCTTGCGGAATACAGCCCAAATTTTGCCATAACATTTGCACAACAGCAATTAGCCAAGATACACTCTTTTCTGAAGGAACCAAAGCTTGCTTATCCATGTATATTTGGAATTCCACCTGTTGGAACACAGGAAAAAGAAATCTACATTTCACAAAAGTAGAAAAGATAATCTAAAAATGTGATATCAAACATCGAATTGTCTAACTGTGGGAGGAACTTTCTAAATTTCACCTCAAAGGCAGAAGAAAACTTCTCTGTTATGTTGTTCCCTTTGCTTGGGTTTCAATACCTTAATCTAAAATCTTTTTGTCCACTATGGTAACTCCTGCCCACAGCTGGCTACTGGGCTAGTGTAGAAATCCCCACATGCTGTGTGGAAAACACATGCTGGATTCAAAGACTTGGTCGCTAGAAAAATAATGTAAGATATTGTTATTTTCATGTTGAAACAGATGATAATATTTTGGATATGCTAGACTACATTAAAACATTATTAATACTCATTTTATCTGTTTCATTTTACTTTTCATAACCTGGCTATTAGAAAATTTAAGATTAAATGTGTCACTCATATTTGTGATGCTCATATTTCTACTATAATGGTATATAAATGAATCAGATTCAGTTAAATTAGCTAAATGCCTTCTAGCCTAGAGTCTGACTCTAAGACACTAGTAAGTGTTAATAAGCTCTCATTACTACTTCATTCTTTCTTTTTGCTGAGGTGCCTCACTACCCCATCACAAGGTTCCCAAGGATCTCTCAAGGTCAAAAAGAACAAATGTGGCAATGTGGCAATAAACTTCAAGTGGACGTTCCCATGGACACTCTGGACAGATCATGTTTGCCCTCTGATCATATTTCTTTTCATTTCACACAATATCTATAGCCAAGTTAATGTCTATTTTTTTTTTTTTTTTGGGTTTTTCTCCGGTACCAGGAACCGAACTCACGACCTTGCGCTTGCCAGGCAGGCGCTTTTGCCGCTGAGCTAAATCCCCAGCCCCTAATGTCTATTTTTGATGATCTGTAATGAACAGGGAACTCTGATTTACTATCCATACACAGTGAGTTGTGATATTGAAGAACTGCAGAAGTCTCATAATCCAGTGATCCCCACACATACTAGTACCTGTGTGTCACCTGGGAAACATTTGAAAACTAGTGATTTCTAGGCTTAAAGTCTGGAGATTCTGACTCAGTAGGTCTTGATGACGTCCAAGATCCTGTCTGTATTCCAAGAAGCTTCACAGGTTACTCTGAGGCTTAGACACAGGGAACTACAGATATAACTGAACTTTCTTCTGTACCTGGTGTAAGATGAACTGTCCATGTGGCAAGGCCCAGGGACTTCAGACCTGGAAGCCAAGGTGCAGGGTTCCTACTCTAGCCTACTGCCATTATATAAGGGTGGTCTTGAAATACACACATTACTTACCCTTCAAGGGCCCCAGCCATCAGAATATCTTCCTTGTCAGTTTTAACATCCAACTCTGGTTCTCCACTAAGCAGAAGCTTCAAGTTATAAACAACCAACAAAGTACCTGGTAAAAGTAGATGTTTGACTTGTCAGTATTTTGAACACACTAAATGCGATACATTGTGCTATCATTTCATCTACGGAATGGAGTCTGCTATCGATAAAATTTTCTTTTGTACCTCAGTAAATAGTGTTTGGATATGTCCTAAAATATACATCTTCCAGCAGACTCCACTCACTGCCAAAGATTGTTGCATTTTTATAATATGGTGTTTCTTATTACTGTTCAATTCATTGTAAGTCTTTCAAACTCTGGCACCCTTTTCATAATTTGCATCATGAAAATTGTTAGGAGTCTGAGCCAGGTTTGTATTACAGGCAAAGCTCTCATCAGTAGAACTGAAATCAATGCATAAAGAAGAACGATGAGATTTTAAAATTGTAAAAATATAAAATATTGCTTCTAGATTTCATGGCTGGTACTGGCAAACTTTCTCTGCAAAAGGCCAAAAAGTAAATATTTTAGGCTTTGCAGGCCATACGGTGTCTATCATACTTACAACTCAACTCTGCCTCTGTAACATAAAAGCAGCCATAGAGAGAGTATAAATAAATGAATGTCATTGTGCTCCAATAAAACTTTATTGATAAAAAGCAAGAATGACTATGGCCCTGGTTTGCTGGCCCATGATCTAAAGCATGGTTAATAAAAGACTTCAAATTACATACAAAGTTAACTGATATGAATATAAACAGGACTGCCTGAAAAATTTTTTAAAAACAAATTATACTTTTAGAGGATAAACAGTAGAATGGCTAAGAATATGGGCTTTGGAGCCTAAATACTTGTGTCTAAATTATGTATAACTACTTATTAAAATAGTTACCTCACTTAAATTTTCTAATCTCTCTAAATCCAATTTTCCTAATCTATACACAGAATCTAAGAAAGCCCTGCCACATATAATTTTTTTGAGAATTAAATTGCCTTCATTTTTAGAACGCACTTGGAAAAGTATTCAGGAAGCATGAACCCATTCATTAATATCTCCATATTTTATAATTAGAAGTCAATCAAAAGATTACATTAAAGCCCTTTGAAATATATTATGTACATGTTAGTAAAATGAATACTAGTTTAAGTGCTGCTATTGTTTCCTCTATGACAAAGAAAAAGAAGTGACCTCAAACATCATTTTTAAGAAAAATGCCCCCTCAGAGAAAAAACTGGGGAGGTAAAGCAAGTCATGACTGAAACAAGCTCTTTAAAAGTCCACTATGAGCATTACACAAGTCAGAGTCACAAGAAGCAGGGTGCACAGAGCTTTCTCTAAAGCGGGTTCTTGTGCTTCTAGATGTGAAAATGGTGCAAGTCTGGACAAACGTCGGGACTGGCAAAGGTCAGTGGACAAGGTGCATTATGTGTCGAGGCAAAAGTTGGTGGAAACTGAAAGGTGAAGATCTGTTCATCTGAGGTGAAAATGTTGACAAAGATTTTGTTAACTCTCTGCCTCAGAAATATAAGTTTATCACTGTGCAAGTTGCCAACTTTTTTATCGGTTGGTATGACACAATCTCAGATGCTGCAACAAGCATCTCCTAACTGTGCTACATGGTGCAGGAAGCAGGGATTCGTTTCTGTCAGAGCAGGCATCATCCTCTTTTCATCTGGTGTCACCAAATTCATGTAAGCACAGACCTTTCTCCTGTGTCAGAGATTTACAGTACCTCATGTTTGGATTCTCTTCAAACTCATATTGATAAAATGAATGACTGCCTCCACGTGAGATTATTAATACAACAAATGTGAAAACATATGAAGAGTGTCTTTCAGAAGACACTATCACAAGTACTTCCATCAAAAGTTTAGAGTTTTTAGGATCTTACCACATTTTCCATAGATCACATCAAACTGCTGCATGAGTTCAGCTTCTTCTTGAAATGGAGAATATTTATAAATTATGGACAGTTCTGTTGAGAATTTTTGGGGATCATCTGTGACAGATTCCCTGGTTCTTGTTAACCATGATGGCATTGGAACTACAACCTATTTTTAAAAATACATAAAAACCATCATCTCTTGGTCCAATCTTAATCCATTCTACTTTTCATCTAAATTTTAAAACACAAAGTTAAAAGTTTACTTTCCTCCCATAATGTATTCTAATTTTATAAAGAAAGACAGGCAACAAACATGTATACACAGGGTTTTATTTTAAAGGACTCCACTGTGGAATGTGGTGACAGATGGAGTCTATCTCAGCTCCCTCTTGAAAGACAGGTGGAATGGCAGAGAAAACGACATTATCAGCACTTTAGAAGTTGAAAAGTAGATGACAGTACACAAAAAATACAACACGAGGCCTCCAGCCGGAAAATAAACGAGGCAGCCTGATTTAAAATTTAGATTGATGGCAGCAGAGCCAGAAGCAGCATCAAGATTCCCATCAGGCTACAGATCCTCCTGTCTCCCAAAACCCTGGATGTTCATTCTCTGGAAGGAGTGGAACAACGTGTTTCTGGACCAGAAGACACACAGGCACTGTCGTTACGAGGACCTTGCTGAGATTAGAGGGATGGAGGGAAAGTGTATGTACTGGATGCTGAGAACCCCAGATGGCTTTTCTCATCCGCTTCCCCAAAAGGCTGGCAGCTAGGTCTTTGGGCAGCAGACCATAGGAAGTCTGACCAGTCCAGAAGGAAAGGCCCGAAGAAATAACATGAAGAGTTATCCAACAGACAAGCCCAGTCAGATTGTTGGATCACTTCTTTGACATACTGAGAGCTGCCAATCCCACACTCCTGGGGCTTTCAATCGACATTTTATTGGACTAATAAAAGTGCTTTGGGCTAATGGTTATCCAAAAAAAAAATATGATATGATAAATAGAAACCACATACACACAAATGAATAAATCTGTTCCTTGGAAATAGAAGCCATGCAAGGAAGATGAAAGTGTCAGAGAAAAAAAGTCATGGGAACAACCTGCAGAGTTGTTATGGGAAAATACTGTATGAAGCGAGAACTAGATATCTTTGGAAGAGGATCACTGAGAGAATAAAAAAGGCTTTGGGGAAACTAAAAATATGAATACAGGAAAAGAATTCTTTGGAAGAACTGGAGGGTAAATGTTGGAAAATATTCCAGAAAACAAAACAGAAAGACACAAGGACAGAAAATAGGAAAAAAGAAGTTAAGAAAATAAACACACTTCCCAGAAGTCCAAGAACTAAAACTCAGAAGTTGCAAGAGGAGGGAAAAGGAGAATATAGATGGGAGGAAATCATCAATGTTACAGAAGACCAGGTGCGAGTTACAGAATATGAGTTTCCAGATTTAACAGTTCTCACGCATACCCAGTGCTATGCCTGTAAATAGACCAGGTAGGTAAAACACGGAAATCAGAACACAAGGGATAGAGAAGACTCTTTTGACCTTCAAAAAGCAGAGAGAGGAAAAGAAAAGATGGGAAGATCACATACAAAACAAGGGAAGAAAATTCAAAATTTTTCAATTTCTCAGTAACAACAATACATACTAGATGATGGAGCGGTACCTTCAAAATTGTGAAGGGAAAACAAAGTCTAGCTTAGAAAGAATGCCAAGCTGCTTTGTCATTAAGTGTTGAGATAAAATAAGAACACTGTAATGAATGGGGGGTCTCCAAATACTGTGCTCCCTGTGCTCTTGTTTGGGAAGCAGCCACAGAATACGCCACACCTAGAAGAGGGAGCAAGCTGTGAAGGAAGAGCTCTGGGACCTGAGATCGGACAGACAACAACAGCAAAGCTGCATGCCAGGAAGACTCCTAAGCACCAGCCTCAGGGGTGTGGCTGCAGCACAGGAGCAGGCTCTGGAGCAGTCATCAGGAAGAGGAGGCTGACAGGAAGGGGAATAGTCAGAAGCTGAGATGGCCTAGGTCACATGCACGCAGAAAACCAAGAAAACGTTCAGTGGTAGTGGAAAAGACAGCTGGGCATCCATTATTAATTCTAGAAGAAATAAAAAGTTGTGCTTCAAAAAAACACAGTCATTGAGGGCACGACACAATGTGAATCACGCTTACATACTCTTACAGTGTAGCTCGTAAACACTGACCTAACCTCAATTAAGAGAGCGCTGTCTTGGGGGTGGAAGTGACTGGGAGGTTGTGTATGTGAGAAAGAGTGGTGAAAGAAAGAGGGTAAACACACGCCCTGGCCACTCGTAACTCTCTCATCTCCCACCTCTATCACCGCCTTGGACAATTTAGTAATAACAGCCCCACACATTCACTAAGCAGCATTCTTTCAAACACCACAGTTTTGTCATTTATCCAATTCCTATGTCTCTGCTTTGTTTTGTGACAAGGTTGAAAACATTTTTGATGGCTGCATGAGCTTCAGCTGGTTTTCTACCTTCCACCATTGTTATGCTGTGCCAAGCAGATTGTAGTTCCTCTACCTGTTGTGTGGCATTGAATTATAGCTGACGTGCACAGTAGTAGTTTGCAATGCAAATTAATAAAATGTCTCTGGGTCAGCAGGAGGAGTTGGTATTATCACTAGAATTACAGTATTATACCTATTCTCAATTCAATTCCTTTATATTCCGTTTTCTAAGGCTTTGACTTCATTATTGTACTCATTTTTAAAAATTATAATACATTTATGGTACAGGGGGTGGAAAGATTTTCCAGACTTCTAATAAATTCACTGGGCCAAATGGAGCCTCTCTTTCTGGAAAATCTGGGTACATGTAGAATAAAAATAATGTCCTCAAGAGAGGCCTCCAGGGGCTGGGAGTGGAGCTCTGTGGTGCTGCTCTTGCTTAGCATGCCTGAGGCCCTCGATTTGATCTCCAGCACTGCAATCAATCGATCGATTGATCAATCAATAGGTGGTGTATGCCTCCCATGAACCCCAGAGTGAACAGATACCTTCCCTCCGTTTCTCATCCACACTTCTAAATTTCTAAATCCTAAGCCAGACAGAAGTTACAACAGATTTCAACTCCTGAGAGGACAAAGGAGACAACACCATTGCCATGCATTTGGAAAGACTCCCTCAATCTTACCTCGCTCAGACCCTCTCCTTCACAGAATGTCTGAGAGAAAAGCACACAGGTCATTGTTTCTTCCTTCTTTGTAAAAAGAATAAAGTCTTTTCCAATTCTCATGGACCCACTATATTGAAAATAAAGAACATAATGATTTACACCTCAGAGGTTAAAAATGAAAACACAAGGCGGCCTCCTAGGTGTCCTGTAGTGGACGGCTCTTCTCAACCACCTGCCTTACTGACCAGTCATCAAGGGGGCACAATCATTTTATTTCTCAATGTAGCACTGAAGAAGTGGAAGGGCTCCAGCCTTACACTTGCCTAAGACACGGTTACTGGGATGAGGTTCCTTCCCCGGTTGAGAACCATCACTGCACCCTTGTGGAGGCACACAGGTGGGCCTCAGGCTGTGCCCTTCATTGAGACAGACTAGAAAAGGCTGTAGACACAACACTGAGGCTACAGTATGCTTTGAAAAAGGACAGAACATACAGGTGCAATGAGGTTTGAATAGTATCCAGAGATACCACTTCAGGAATGCCTGTGAGAAGATTCACCTGAACTATATGTGAAAATTCATTGTTAAAATGTTGCATAAATCAAGTCAGTTATGGGTGTTGAGATTCCAAAACAAGGTAGAACCTCCGTGCAAGTTTATAGCGTTCTGAAGTTCTACAGGTTGCTGCATTCCGTAGAACACCACCTTCAGCACGATTTCCAGTACCAGTAACGCACGCATTAAAGGAGAAAATGCTCACCTTTTAAGACCGTTGCCATACTGCCCAATGAACTTCAAGGTGGGTAAGTGTTTCCTGTGTGTCCCAAAGTTAATTATGTCTGAGGCTTCCTCTGTAATTGACAATGACGTTCAAGGTGGTTAGGAAGCATGTTTGATCTTATGACATATCTCGGGGCATTTGGACAAACCCACACCTCCCGGGCCAGCTCAGAGACAAGGATTCATATCAGGATCCACAACTTCTGGCAAGGATCTTAATGGTGACACTGAATTACACGACTCTGGATAGAGTTTAAAACTCTGAGCTTAATTTCCTTGTCTGAAACAAAAATGCTAACACATCACAAAGTGGCTGATGAAGATAAATGAAAACAAATTAAATGAGATGATTATATTTGTGAAGCTCTGAACAAAATACTCAGCACTTGATAAGTGGAACAATTATAAGGGTTATAATGATTTGTACCACTAGTATTTTATGATGAATTTGACCCTTATCTGAGGGCATATAAGACTAAGAAGGACAGAACAGTTTCTGCTCTGATGTTACCAGGGGAAAATAATGAACTCATTTTGGCTTTCAGACTCATTGGTCTTCCCAGCGTGTTTCAGAACTTAGAGAGAATCCTCTGGATTTCAGAATACACTGACCTCCAGAACCAAGAATCTTCTTCTTTTTAGCCTCCCTGAACACAGGCTTTAGGACTGTTCTGAAGACCCCGTCAGCCTGGGTACAGACAGGCTATACATAGTTGGGTGGCAGCTGGTATGAGATGTGTGAAGGTGACCAAACACTGCTAGTCTCATCAAACTGGACATCTGATCGCAAGGGCTAAGCCTTGAGGGCACCCACACTGACATCAGCCAGCATTAATGACTGCTTAGTACGCGCTAGGAACTTCTGCGTGTGTCACACGTTCCATGTACTGTGCTGTCTGCTCATTTTTACAACAACCCTCTAAGAAAGATGTGATCTCTGTTGCTGAGGGAGAGACAAATTGAAAGACAAATAAGATCTGAGAGGACTGGGCACAGGAAGCCAAGCCGGGATAATGTGATGATGAGTTAACAGGAATGAGGCATGCGGTTAGAGCCATCGGGAAAGGCCACTTTCGGAAAGCTGATGTCTGAGATGAGGGTCGGGCGCCTGGGGTCCACGCAGGTGTGGCTGGAACATTAGAAGCAGGGAGTGAGCAGAGGGAGAAAAGGCCAAGGAAAGGACAAACTCCAAGCCTTGGAAGGGAAGTTGAGGAGCACAGATTTTACTCTTCAGCAGGACAAAGCCGAGGAGGGCTTCTGACAGGACAATGATAAGGGTAATTTTTACATTTTACTGAGGTAATTGTGGTGGGGAAGACCAGAGAGAAAACACAACAGTTTGGAAACTACTGCCGGGTGTGGTGGCTCATGCCTATAATCCCAGCATTTGGGAGGCTGAGGCAGGAGGATCGTTGTGAGTTTGAGGCCAGCCTGGGCTACAAAGTGAGCTCAAGGCCAGCCTGAACTGCATAGTGAGACCCTGTCTCAAAAAAAAAAAAAAAAGAAAGAAAGAAAGAAAGAAAAAAAAATTACTGTCAGCATCATCTCTGGGTCAAGATGAATCTCAGTATAGACAGCAGGTAAGTTCCACTTCCAGTCCTCTGAAATAAACATTTCCTTCTCACTCTACTTGATTTCTAATGTGAATAAAGAATTGCCAAGCCAGGCGTGGTGGCTCAGGCCTGTAATCCCCAGCACTTGGGAGGCTGAGGCAGGAGGATCCCTGCAAGTTTGAGGCCAGCCTCAGCTACAAAGTGAGCTCAAGTTCAGCCTGAACTGCATAGTAAGACCCTGTCTCAAAAATACAAAAAATAAAATAAAATAAAATAAAATAAAGAAGAAGAAAAAAATTGCCAATAAATACATGAAAAAATATTCAACATCTTTAACCATTAGGGAAGTGCAAATCAAATTTACACTGAGATTCCATCTCACCCCAGATAAGCTATTATCAAAACAAAACAAAACAAAACAAATGCTGGAGAGCATGTGGAGAAAAAGAGCCTTTATGCAGTCTTGGTGGGAATGTAAATTCATACAGCCACTAGGGAACTCAATATGGCAGCTCCTCACCATACTGAAAGTAGAACAATCCAGCTATACCATTCCTGAGTGTTTATCTGACAGAGGGGCAGTCAGCATACAGAAAGCACGCCTTCCTACAAGTGTTTATTGCAGCATTATTCACAGTAGCCAAGAAGTGTAATCAGACAGTCTAGCTGTCAACAGATGAACAGATGAAGCAAATATGGTACAAGTACACAACGGAGTATTATTCAGCCACAAATACGAATGAAATTACAACATTTGCAAGAAAATAGATGAAATGGGGAGGATCGTATTAAGCAAAATAAGCCTGACTCCAGAAGATAAGCATCACGTGTCTTTCTCTCAAATGTGGAAAAGACAAGGAGGAAAAGGAAGAGGAGGAGGAGGAAGGCAGAAGGTGCAGAGCACTAGAAGGAAACGGAGGAGGAGAAGGAGGTAGACGAGGAGATGACAACCAATGCCTGAAGGTGGAGAGGTCCTATCAGGGAAGGCAAAGGGGTTGGAGGAGTGGGGCACGAAGAGACGAGAAGGTAAGGGGAGGGAGGGTGACCACGATTAGCACATGCATGGAAACAGCACAGGGCTGCCTGTCAGTTCACGCAACTAATATACTGCAATGGCTGTAATGTTTAAACTGCTCTCTCAACAATACAGATTATTCTACTGCACTGGATGCTCCCTAGTTTCTTATAGAGTTACGTATACCCTGCCAAACCTGTCAAAAATTGAAAATATCAGAAGTGGAAAATGCACTGAATACCCTAACTGCCAAACTTCAGGTTAGCCACACGGTGCGCTGTAGAGTGTGAGCTGCCCCCCATGATCACAGGGCTGGTGGGGAGCAGGAGATGGCAGCTGAGGCCGACGTGGCAGCAGGGTATGCTGGCACTCACTGCTACCCCAACATCAAAAGGAAAAGCTCCAGTGAATGCGTATTGCTTTGGTGCACGGCAAAATCAACATGTTTTAACCTGACCCATGCTAAGTCAGGGGTCTTCTGTGTATCAGCTAAGGAGTGAGCTTCTTCTGAAGGCCTGGATGTTTGCAGGTTTTCTTTTTGTTCTATTTGCTCGTGACCAATATAAAAAGATTTGATTCTTGTTTTTCTAGTTAATATTTTTGTTCATACATTTTGCAGTATATAACAATTACACATTTGCTTTTTTAAATGAATTCCTTTAGACAGTATCATGGATAGTCTGCCATTTATTTTAAGAATTCAGGAAAATGAACATTTGGGCTGGAAGTACAAAATGAGACTTTCGGCCAAGTGTGGTGGCACATGGCTGTAATCCCAGCACTCAGGAGGCTGAGGCAGGAAGATTGTTGCGAGTTCGAGACCAGCCTGGGCTACAAAGTGAGCTCAAGGCCAGCCTGAACTGCATAGCAAGACCCTGTCTCAAAAAGACAAAAACAAAAAACAAAAAAATGAGACTTTTTTCAGCCTGGCTTTTTCTTTTTATGACTTCTTTCTCTTCTCATATTTAAACACTAAAGAATCAAACATTAATCAAAATGACCCGGAAAAAATTAAGAATCATCTAAACAAAGTCAGAACATAAACTGAATGGGCTACTACTCAAGCATTTTCTAAACTTGCTAATAAATATTCTTTGAATACTCAGACCAAGGGGCAATTTTGGAACTAGAAGGAGATAACTGCTTTACACCGGAGCCCCTCAAGGTTTCTGAAGCATAGTGGTCAAAATCCTAGCTTGTGGGACATAAACTGTCGTAAGAATTAAGGAATACGCTATCTAAGCAACTCAAAGCCCACGCTAGAGGATGATGTACCTTAGAACCGTGTGACTATTATGTGCTGGCTTAGTGCTAAACTTAAGTAAATAAAGTCATGCAATATATTGTAGATCACTTGATCATGAGGGAGACATTCATTTGAAACAACTAAGCGTGTTTGTCCTGCAAAGGAAGGACAAAATTGCCAAAACCCAGAAGAGATGACCTCTACCTCCAGGTGACATAGGAACTGTAAAATAACCAGAAGGCGCAGGGAAGGGGCTTGGGGCTCTTGCAAACTAGAGTTGAAACACGGACTGAAAATAGTCTCACACCGCATTTGGTCCCCATTTGTATTCCATTTATTTCCTGGTGCGGTTTCCTTACAGTCAGTACCATTTGCCTGTCATTCTTTTTCTGACAATATTACTTACACTCACTTCTTATCTCCATTTAGAATCTAAGCTCCAGATGATTGCAATGAATTTACTCCACCAGCTGGAAAACTTAAAGCTCAGAATTTCAACAATAAATACCAGGTTTATCTTCCTACCCGCTCCATACCTGGTTTGGAATAGATAGCTCAATTTATTTGTATTTATTTTATGAGTCCTCAGCCTGTTTCCTTTAACAGCCAGTTAAGCATCTAGATAATTAACTTACCAGGGCTCATGCCACATCCATCATCCAGGAAGCACAACATGAATCCACCCTGCAGTTTTTCATTATCCACTGTAAGGGAAAGCAGTTATTACTAATAAATATCGGGCTTAATTTGTTCGTCAGAAAGGCATGCTGCTCACATAATTACACGTCCTCCTCAGCTGCAGCCGTGCACTGACAGAGTCATGGCACAAAGGTGGAACTCAGAATGGAGTCTTGGCTACAGCTTCATAAAAAACTGCAGGGGAAAAACAATCAGGCAACAAAAAGGCCTCAAATTCACATGAAATATCTACACATTAATAAATGATGTGTACAGCAGGACATACCCTGCTCTGAAATTGGACTGGGCCTTTAAACTCCAGGTATTTCTTCCCTTGAGGAGGAAAAAAGTAGTTGGTGATGTAACCACAGGATCCTTCTATCGCACTGATCACCCTTTATGCCCTCCCACCAAAGCACTAATTCAGAAATAAATCTAAGCCATTCCTATTAAACCCACCAGGCTCCTTCCTCAGTAAGTAGTTAATTCCTATAACGACCTTTTGTGAGTGTTTCTTTGTGGCAGGAAATATTTGCTTTTCGGAGATGCATTTGATTTTTGAAAATGGCTGTTATTTGAGATCAGTTGTGATGATTAAGAGGCACCCTTAAATTATACAAAAGCATCTCTGGGTTTAAAAATTGCTACAGATGCAACTAAAAATACTGAGATTGATTTTATGGACTGTTGGTAAACTGAAAATAATTTCAGTGGTTGGATCGTGAGTTCCAGAACATTTTTTTCAAGTCTTACTACAGAATTATTTACGCATAATAAACTGCACATGTTTATATGATGTGATAAATTTGGATACATACATACATATGTGCCCACATACACACACACACACACACACAAAGCCATCACTACAATTAAAGGAGTGAACACCACCCCAAATGCCTCCTCCTGGGTATCTGTAATCTCTCTCCTTTTCCTTCCTTGTCTCATCACCTGCCTCATTCCCAGGCAATCACTTGATCTGCTTTGTGTCTCTGGGAATTGTTTTCTAGCACACTGAAGTCAATCACTATGCTCAAAGGTCAACTAGAGTTCACATGTACAAATCAGTGTTCAAAACAGCACAAGAATAAATATCTAAAAGATACATGTAATTGTATTAGTTTGTTTTCTGTTGCAGTAACAAAAGCCCTAAGGCTAGGTCACCTGGGAGGAAAAGAAGCTTATGCATCCCACAGTCCTGGAGGCTCAAGAGCATAGTGCCAGCTTCTGCCCGGCTCTGGTGAAAGCCTCATTGCAGATGGTACCACAGCAGCAAGAGCACATGCCAGCCAGAATGATCATGGAGCAAGACAGGAAGCCAGGGGCCGAGTGTCCAATTCACTCTCCTATAACGTCCAACTGTTAAAGAACTAACTCTGTGGGACCAACATGAATCCCTTCCTGGTCAGGGCTTCCAATGACCCAACCACCTCCCACCAAACCCCACCTCTGAAAGGTTCCATTACCTGTTAAAGTTGCCAAACTGAGAACCAAGTTTCTAACACATGAACTGCTAGAGGTAGAGCACACCCAAACCACAGCGCTGGTCTTTTGAGATCCGAGTGATCGTCATGTGCCTGACCTAAAAGCGACTGCTGGTTATCCTATGTTCCTGAAGGGCTGGGAACCCCCCGTCCCAAACCAGGCTCAGCTCCCAGAAATCTCTGCACAGTAGCTACAGCTCATGTTGCACTTCTTGGCATATTTGTCTTAAGGAAAGAGTGTGCATAAAAGAAGAGACAGCTTCCAAGAACAGCGGGAAAGACCAAGATTTCCAGCAGCTATATAACATACTACCTCCCTTTTAAAATTTTTACGAATCTGTATTATGGGTTGGTGCACTCAAGTATGATCTCAAAGTGTAATAATCCCTACTATCTATCCTGAAACTTGGCCTTATTTCAATTATTTAAAACTATGGATTTCAGGCAGATTTCTATCATCTATTATTTATACACGTCTGAAGTGAAACAAACAACTCCCTCACAAGACTTACTCCTTCTTCTCATGTTCAATAAATGACACACTCCACCATCAACCGTCATTGGTCCTGTACCATCTTCTCACCCTACACAGGGAGCCATCATTGGTCCTCCATCCTCTCACGCCACACACGGAGCCATCATTGGTCCTCCATCCTCTCACCCCACACACGGAGCCATCGTTGATCCTCTGTTTTCTCACCCCACACGCGGATGCATCTTCTCCATCTTCTCAGCCCACACACAGACAGCTACCAGGGCCTCTTGGTTTCACCACCTTAATGTCTCTCAGACTCCACTGCTTTCTCTCACCCCTCTCACTACTTTCATTCAAGAAACCACCATTTCCTGTCAGTATTCTAGCACCCTAACTTCCTCCCCTCTCTAAATTCTAAGGGTGAGACTAATTTCCTTCTGCTATTCTGCTGAAAACCTTTTCATGGCTCCCTCTGCTCTCCCGATGAAACTGAAAACATTTAGCAAATCTTGCTGTTCCCGGTCTGGCCCTGCTTCCCAATCTCATCTTCTTGCCCCCCTCTGCTGCCACCTCCTCTCCCACAAGAAATACTTCCCTTGAATGAATCCTGAACATCTCAAATATTTTTCCATACTGTCTCTGAATTCAAGGTCCAACATATCCTGTTCCTTTGCTCTTTCCATGCTTGAGTCACCACGTGAATGTGTTTTCTCTAGATTAGTTCATATAAGGCTTCTTCTGAGGGCTGGGGATCTAGCTCAGCAGCACAGTGCCTGCTTGGCAAGCATAGGTCCTGAGTTTGACTGCCAGTACCCCCCCCCCAAAAAAAAAAAAAACAAAAAAGACATTCAGGATGTCTTGCTAGTATTTCCCTATCATAAGGTACCCAGGGTTAATGTTCTTTTTCTAAACCTATTTTTCCACTTTCATAGCATATTTTTAAAATACCTATTCATATGTCTACTTCTCTTTCAGAGCAATGGTTTTTACAGTTTTATGGAACATAATTATCTTAGAAAGACAAAAGCTGTGTGCCCTTTATCCACAAAGTCCAAGTACGTACTACATTTTCCAAAAGTCCCTATGCTGAGGTGCAAATTCCTTAAAAATGGGCACTGTGTATTCTAACTACTCAGGATAGTGCCTGACACTTAGTGACCACTGAAAATGCATTCAGTGCACAGCCATTTTTACTAGAACTAATACACCATGATGAACCTACTTAGTTTGAATTTCATAGCCCTCAAATTATTTGAAGGAAACTAATTAGAGAATAAGTCAGGGTCTCAGTAAATCATTTGAAAACTAGTCGAACCTTAGACTAACTATGTGTCCTCAGAAGAATTCTACCTATGGGTATTAAGCACTGGTCTGCTCTCTTTTTGAAAGAAAATCAGTGTGTTAGGTTGATAGCAAATGACAGTTCACTGCAGTAAAAATATATATAACATGAACAGGTAATTTAATACATGTAAGCAAAGAAAGACAACAGTGTGTCTTAGCTACTTTTCTCTCATTTTGAGACAAAATACCTAATGCTCAAATTAGAGGGAAACGTTTATTTAGCTCACAGTCTGTGGAGGTTTCAGTCCTTGCTCAGCTGGCTCCAAGGCAGGGTGGCACATGGCAGAAGGCAACAGTTCATGGTGGTGGAAGACAGCAAATGCAACAAGAGTAAAAGGGGGGAGGAGCAAGCCTCTTTTCCTCTCTCATATTGTATGCAGAACTACCTGCCTTAGGGCGGGTGTAACACTCACACCATCTCCATGTCCACCTCTTGCACAGGCTCAAGGTGTTTACAAAGTGAGGACCCTGGTCCCCTGCTGAGTTACTTAGTTAAACCTCTAAACTTCTCAAGTTGATATGAAGAATCAACCATTACAACATCCTAGGGCATAAACAGCCACCCTAGGGCATGTCCTCTACACCCTAGGATGTAAAACTGCTGAGTCAGTTAAGCTTCTAAACTTCTCAAGTTGACACAGTATGTCAACCATTACACAGTGCCACTTTCATCTCCAACTGGCCAAGCTTCTATTTTGCTTCTGTATGATAATACTGAGTGCTCAGAAAAGTGGGGTGAAATGAACATGCTCATCCCTGGCTGATGCCTGTCATACCCAGAAGAACATAGTGTGTGGATTCTGATTACAGGTGCTGAACTCCGTGATTCTATGTGATCTTCTTAGCCTCTCATCAGCAGGATGTGTGCTCTGAATGAAATGCTGCTTACATCCATCCTCCATTTCTAGGATCAGATTCATATGAAATCGTTCCCAGACTTCCATGACAAACCTCCCCCTCTCTCTGCTTTTATACTCCTCCAGGCTATCTGCTATGCTGCTATACTACTATATTTTAGAAAGGAAAAAGACATGTCTACTTAGAAGACTGTTACCACTCAAACTCTGCAAAGATCCACTGACTAAAGAAAAAAAGTCTTGGTGTCCTATTCATGACACTCATCCATTTTTCTCTAACCCTTACTTCTGACCAACCTAACATCGTAATTGTTTCCTAAGTAGTCTTTCTCCAGATAACTCCATGGCGCAATCCCTCCCCTTAGGCAAGTCTTTAGAGAAACGTTCCCAGAGCATCCTATGAAAACCCGCATACCTTCCCAGTGCTCTCTGTTCTCTAAACCTGCTTTCTTCCCCTTAGCACTGCCTGGTATTTATTTATCCATTTTTTTTTTCTAGTTCACACCTGCAGTCATGTTTCCATTCCTTGTGTGGAGTTAGCATGTGCACATAACTCATCATCATTTCTTTTTACATCCCTTTTCTCTGCTCTCCCTCCATCTTTTGATCCCTTTCCATCAGAGGAAGATCTATCTCTCTATGCTCTACATTTTATTTTGCTCTTTACTTGTAATTTGCATTTCTCTTATAAAAGAAAACATGCAATACTTAATGTGTCTGTTCTATTTCACTTAACGTTATGGGTTCAAGGGAGATCTAGGAATTTCCTACAAATGACTCAAGTTCACTTTGATGGCAGAGTTGTACTGTACTGTATGTAAAAACACATTTTCTGCATCCGTTCTTTTGTTGATGGATAGATATTGTCCATGTCTCCCCAACAGAATGCAGTTTCCTGGCAGTGTAGACTTTAACATTTTGCTCAATGCTTTTTTTCCAGCACCCAGAAGAACAAACGCTCAATGAATTGCTGCTGAATACACTAACAAGTTTGTGAGTAGTCTAATTTCACTCTTTTTCTCCTGATAATGTTTTAGACAACAATATCCTTTTTCCTACACTACTTGACAAAAGTCACTTCCATGTTTCAAGCCCCCGGGGCTGGGGATTTAGCTCAGTGGCAAAAGCGCCTGCCTGGCAAGCGCAAGGTCATGAGTTCAGTTCCCGGTACCGGAGAAAAAAACCAAAAAACCGTATTTCAAGCCCCATGTCTTTAATATGAAGCAGTTTCTCCTGTACCTGTGTGCCTTTTATACTTTGTGCCTCTCCTAAGCAAGAGATCCTTACCCCATTCTACGCTCCCCGTGGAGGGTCCCTGATTAACTTAATGCAGTTTCCACTTACAGTCTTTGCAACTTCCAATACAGTTTCACTGGTATAGAACCCCAGTGAAGTCAGTAAGCATCTGTAATTGGATATGAGAGGGAAGACCATCTTTTGGCCACCAAAGAAGCACCAGCATGATATGGAGCAATAAATTTGTTTGCCATGAGACACAGTTTTATTTTTAAAAGCTTATTAATATAACAGCCATTTTTAATCAAGTGTACATCATGTCCAACTTATCACAGTTGGAAAACGTGTAAGTGAAACTTACGTAAGTGTTGATTCTGAGCTTTCAGATCTGGGTGGTCACACAGCTAAAAAGAAACCACTCAGACCCTGCCTTCACTGTGCTATTGGGAGTAAGCTGCCCACAGAGAGCTTGCCTTCGCTTCCTTCTCCCCAGGGAAGACCATTTTTGAGGGACAGCTAATGCTACTGGACTGAGAGCAGCCTGACCCTGGGGTCTGATCAGTAAGTACATTTGCTCTCTCGCTAGAACTCCACATTCTGACTATCAGTGATCGGAGCTGATTCTTTCATAATCTCACAAACATTTCAGAACCTGGAAAGCACAGGGAAGGAAAGAGTTATCAATTACCATTTTCTCAGATGCCTTGCAATGCCCATGTCTCCCTGGGCAACCACAAACATGTATGTGGCTCAGCACCTCAAATGCTCAAGAAAGTTAACTGAACTGCAATGCTTTTTAAGCAAGAAATGGGGCCGGGGATATAGCTCAGCGGCACAAGCACCTGCCTGGCAAGCACAAGGTCCTGAGTTTGATTCCCGGTACCAAAAAAAAAAATAAATAAATAAACAGGAAATGGATTAGCATCACCGACAACGTCCTCCTGCCTGTGACCAAGAGCCAGAATTACAAAGCAGCTGACAGGATCAGGGCAGAGAGGCAGCACCTTCCACTCAGGGCAGTTCTCTACTGACTGAATCACAGAACCTGAAGTCCATAGCATCTTTCTCAGATGAAGTTCAGTAACCAGTGCAATCAATCTCTGGAGGCTGCAAATGAGGCCAATGATGAAACGTATTTGGTTTGAATTTTGTGGCCCTCAAACAACCACACTTCATGTTCACTTACTCACTGTAAAACTGGGATAAGCTGGAAGTGATGGATGCTTAATTATGAATAACCATGAAATTAACAAGGTTTTAGAACAAAACTGTTTCTCATAGCATCTAAATTTACTGCTCCATGTCACTTTGCTGCTTTCACAAACTCCAGAAGACCTAATTTTGTAAATGGTCCCCTAATAAGTGAACAGTTTGACTCTCAGAGTACACTTTGCTCACACCAGCTTCCCACCGGGTCGCTGTGTTCAGGAAGCATTTAGATTACATTAAAGATCTTTAGAATGTGGTTTTATTTCATGAAGCAAAATGAAAGCAAAATAGCTACGGGCTTTCCACTAGAATTAAAAACGAAGAAAGGAAATCTGCTCACCTGAAAACACATCAAGTCTTCCAGCCCCTGCGTCTCTGGAAACAATATAAAAAAATCACTGCTTCAGTGTGAAATTATGTTTAAAAACTACATTAGTTTAGATTCACTATGTGAGGTATAATCTACTGTCAGAGATTAAACAATGCGAAACTCCACTTAAATTGCTTTAAGATCAATTACTAAAATCTTTCCCTGTGCATTTACATACTTAGAACTATCATCATTCATAATTTGAGAGCATTACCAAGGGGTAAATTCAGAAATGTAAAAGAAGTGATACAATTTAGCGGTACTTACATAAAGAGCTCAACAAAGTAAATATGAATTCTGAGTTTTTTTTTTAAAATGTCTGAGGAGTGATCTGTAAGTTAAAGAATGATTTCCATGATGTATTTCAGTTCAGAAAATGAAAATAAAAAGCAAATTACTACATACTTTGTACTATAGGAAGAGCATATAGGATATATATGCACATAATGGAAACAAAGAAAGCAGACCGCGGTCTTTGAGCCCAACCTGGGACACTGTTTCGAGGATGAGGTTTTGTCAGAACGTCCCACAAGCTTATTCATTTACACAACGTCCATGACTGCCTAAGCGTACGATGGCAATGCCGATTCACTGCAGCAGGAACCACACGTCTGCAGTGAAAATATGTGCTGTCTGGTCTTTGGCAGAAAAATATTAGACTCTTGGTCTATGTGATGAGATTACCAATTTTTTTCTTCCTTCTTATCTCCTCAGTTTTCTAAAATTCACAGATACTATTTTTCAATTCTAAGAATTAGTCTTAAAATAAAGATCCGGGGGCTGGGGATATAGCTCAGTGGCATAAGCACCTGCCTGGCAAGTGCAAGGTCGTGACTTCGATCCCCAGTACCACAAAAAAAAAAAAAAAAGAAAAAGAAAAAGAAATAAAAGAAAGATCTGAAGAGGGAAGGAAGAGCCATGAGACGCTCACTTCAGAATCACAGGTGTGAAAGGAGGAAGATGAGGAAGGTGAGGGACTCAGTTGTAGCTGACAAGGAGGAGGGCTCACAGGGAGGGAGGGGCCTAAAGGGAAGCTCAGTGCAGTAACGAGTGCAACTGCGAGGAAGAAACTTGAGCCTCTCTCCACATCTCCAGAGCTCGAACCCAAAGCCACCCAAATATATCCAAACAGGTGCAGTGTCTTGTTCCGCCAGTCTCCAAGTTAGTGCCTGACAGACAGCTGCTTCCCCTAGTCCATCCAGACTTCAGAAGCCTCTTTATACTGAAACCTGCGATTATTACGCCATTTCTTGAGCAATTCCTGAGTAGCACACAAGGCTGAATGAAGTATTTTTGTCCCTGCTCTTGGAATCCTTAACACAATCCCATGACACGTGGACATCAATATCTCTGCTATGTCATTATGCTTTATACAAAATATCGCTGTATCGAAACAGGGATTTTTTTTCCTGAAGAATGTACTTGTAATCTTTCAAGGAGGCTGGGCGTGGTGGCGCACGCCTGCAATCTCAGCACTTAGGAGGCTAAGCCAGGAGGATAGCCCAAAGTTCAAGGCCAGCCTGAGCTACACAGTGAGTTCAAGACCAGTCTCAGCTATGTAGGGAGACCCTGCCTCAAAAAAAAAAAAATCTGCCAAGGAAAGCAGAAAATGCAGATTATTTCTTCAGTGCCTCTTGTTTCTTAAACCTTTTTCTTTTGCTTTCTTCCTTTTCGTTTTGAATGCTGTGCAAGATTTCACCATGGGGCAAGTCTGAGATGGGCTGGCGCGGGTCGGGGGCCGCCAGTTTACAGACGCTGCATTAAGAGCTCCATCGCTGGCTGTATGTCCCTCGCTCCCCGGAGCTGGAAGTCAAGCTTGCTTGCTGAGGCACCCCCTCACCCTCTGCTGTGCGAAGCGCCCCCAAGGTCCTACTCCTGCTGCAGTCCGATGTTACCTGTCCCCTGTCAAACGGAATCAGGGTTATCAAGCTGCTGGTAACGGGCCATTCAGTAGCAGGACCCAGGGGTGCAGAAGGCTCTCTTTCAGGCTCGCAAGGAATGACAGCGGCCACCCCGACGCACCGCAGAGGAACACCACGCGCGTGTGGTCTGCACAGCCTCCTCCTTTCCGGCTCCTTCTAGCCTCAGCTCCCGGCTCCCCGTCAACCGACTTCATTCTCCTTTCTTCTCTTCTCCCTGTCCCCATGATTTCCTCAGTTCTACAAAGACAGGGTTTCATAAAGGAGAAGCCAGCACCCTTCCACTCAGTGCTGAGCACAAATTCCCAGACAGCTGATGCACTGACTCTGCTGTAAGACACATTCTCAGAAGGCTCCTTGTCCTGCGATGGCCAAAAGCCAGGAACAAGCACCAGAAGCTGAAGTACTGTTATCAGCCAGTGGCAGAGCATTTAGATTCCCTCACTGGGATCCCTTATCTAAAAACCGCACACCATATCCTGAGTGTACTTTGCTTTTTGCAGAGAAAGTAGGGAAACACCTTCTGTAAAATAGAAATAATATAAAAAAGTCAAATGTCACATTCAATTTAGCTTTAAAGAATGATTCCCTCCCAAGTCCCTGCAAATACACAATTGAATAGAATTTAAATTATTGTGGGGGATTGTTTTGTTTTGTCCTTTTGAGACTGGGTCTCACTATGCAGTTCAGGCTGGCCTTGAGCTCACTTTGTAGCCCAGGCTGGTCTCCAGCTTGCAATGATCTTCCTGCCTCAGCGTCCGCAGTGCTGGGATTACAGGCATGCACCACCACGCCTGGCTGTTAAATTGCTTCTTTAAACCTCAGTGCCTTTATCAGAGACAGTAAAATGGGGTGCAGAGGTTCTACAACGAAAAGGTGCAAACAGGAGCTCTAACTTTGCGAAGCAACAATTGTGTAACTTTGAATGCATCATCTAACTTCTATAGTCTGATTTCCAACAGGTGTAGAACTGGGACAATGATTCCCACCTCAGATTATGCAGTAAGAATAAATGAGCTAATACGCAAGTATATGTGTTTATGTGTATCTGGTACACAGTAAGAGAGAAATAATAGTTATTTCTTCTAAACTACAATTCACTCCAAGGTAGACTTCAGTAAGTGCCTAAACCCGAATGAAAATTCTCAAGACAAATTATACGTTAATTTATAACTCAAAAAATATCCAAATATTTGCTATTACAGTTCTCAACACAAACACACAGATCCAATTCACCCGCATGTCAAGTCTGACCATAAGCACAATTTAAATAAAGGTAACTCCTCCTATCTATTTCTTCCACAAAGAATTTTGATTTTCATAGGAAATGAAGTCACAAAACGTTCCATATGGGGGAAGCCATGATATATTTTTATCTTCAAGTACAACCAGACGCGGTCTGTGCCCCGAAATTCCCTCAGCAACTCCGGTTCGCGGGTCCATCTCACCTTGCATTGTCCAGCAGTTCAGCGAGGGCTCCAAAAAGAAAGCCGTGCGTTGTGCTGAGGGACAGAAAGAGAAAATGCAAGGTCAGACCGAGGCTAAGCGGCCGAGGGTACCTGGAGACCAACGCTCCGCAGTTCAGGAAAGAGAATGGATTCCTCAGCTACCCTGGAAACAATTGGTTCAGCACGGCCAAGATTCTCAAGTAGGCGCCTGACAAAGCCTAGGCAGGAGCTGGGGCCAGACACCCTGTCCGCTCCTCATTAAACAACGGCTAAAACAAGCGTTACCTTTACCAGTTGCTTTGTGAGACTGCTAAGACGGGCAGGAGGAACACGCAAATCCACAGTTACAGGGAAGGGTTCCTGCCCGCCTCTGGGTGGGATCTGAGGCCCTCAGACTCGACCTGAGCCACGCCCCATGGTCACACAGTTGTGCAGGCCGCACACAGCCGGCACTGAACTTCTTGGCCCCTCTTATTAAGTGAGCCATCGCCCCCAGAAATTCCTTCTCAGACCTCTCTTCTCATCTTGTCTGCTCTGTCTGTCTAGGTAACTCTTAACCACTCACTTCACAAACTTTATGTATGAAATATTCATAAGTTGCCTTATAAATCTATATTCAAGGACTTTTTCCCAAGCTAGGTACGGTGGGGCACTCCTGTAATCACAACCCTCAGGAAGCTGAGGCAGGTGGATAGCCATGAGTTCAAGGTCAGCTTGAACTACAAAGTGTGACCCTGACTCAAAAAAAAAAAAAAAAAAGCAAAACAAAACAGAATTAAAACAGAAACTCATGAAATTTCCTTCCCAAGAACTAATTCTGTTTCCTTTTGTTTTGCTTCGTTTTGTTTGAGATAGGGTCTCACTACGGAGTCCAGGCTGGCCTTGAGTTCACTATGTAGCCCAAGCTGGCCTCAAACTCAAGGCGGTCCTCCTGCCTCAGCCTCCCGAAAGCTGGGATTACAGCCGTGCGCCACCACGTCGGGTGTTTCCTGTGTTTTCTTCCCTCTCTCATTGGGTGCGGACCCCACCCCACCCCACGTGGACACTCACGAGTTGGCGTGGATGAAATCCAGGTGCAGGCGGGCCCGGTGCAGCGCAGCATACTTGTCGCCCATGTCCTCCGGCACAGCCGACCCGGTGCACACGCACGCTGCCCACGCCGCCCCACGCCCACGCTCACGCCGCCCCACGCCCACGCGCTCGTCGCCCCACCCCCACGCGCTCACCTGCACGCAAGCCCCTGACGGCCGCAGCGCCAATCGAGCCCTAGCGGCGGACCCAGGCACGGCCTCTGGCCTGGTCCCAGCCATGGAGAAGAGCCAGGAGGAGCTGAGTCCAGTCGGAACGGAGGGCTCTGCCTGGAAGCATCGTTAACATGCTTTACCTGACTTCCAGCCGTGTGATGTGCTGCCCTGGCTCAAAAACTAGAAATTGTGTAATGGAACTTATTACAAAAGGTATAAGGGGCCGGGCGTGGTGGCGCACGCCTGTAATCCCAGCACTCAGGAGGCTGAGGCAGGAGGATCACGGCGAGTTCAAGGCCAGCCTGAGCTACAAAATGAGCTCAAGGCCAGCCTGAACTGCATAGCGAGACCCTGTGTCAAAAAGAGAAAAAAAAAAAAAAAAAAAGAAGATAAA